TAAGAGGGGGAGAGAAAAACTTCTATCGGCTCAAAAAGCAGCATAAAAAAAAAGGAGGGGGAAAGCAAAAACAATTAGAAAGTATAAAATAAGATGGCATAATCAAATCAGACCTAAAGTGTCTTGTAAGTACGAGAAAAAATATATATATATGGACATGCTAATTAAAAGTCAAAGATTGTCAGTCTGGATGTTTTCTTTAATGACCACACAAAATCAAGTGACATGCTATTTAGAGACATGCCTACAACATAAGGACACAGAATGAATGACAGTAAAAGGATAGAAAAAGGTATCAGGAAAATACTAACTAAACCTAACATGTTCTGCAGACTGAAAGCATTGATTCAAAGAAAGGATGTTACTCTGTTTGCTGAATTACCTATTTAGAGCTATTCTGAAACTCTTCAGCATCCCAGCACCCAAGTCCTGATCCCTGAACTCAGATACACATCTGCAGGTATAGCATTAATGAGGCTAACACGAGAGCAAGCATTCAAGGGACACCTATGTATTGTTGGCACACTTTCCTAAACAGCTGTTCAAAATCCCTCTGCTATGGCAGGGAACGTCTGATGTTCACACATGGCATCTCCATCCACGTGCCTGTGGAAATGCACAGCCCCAAGGGCACTGTCACTCCACAGTGTCTTTCTCACTTGCTAAACAGCTCAGAATGCAAACAAGAATGACATTATAGTGATTATCTCAAGGCTTTTCTGAGCTATAAAAACTGAAACTCTTTGCAAATATTGGCACAACATTAGCAATCATTACTAGTGACACACCTTACAACTGACTGTGATGTCATCGCTAGTTTCAAGGACAGGCCATCTGTTTTGAATCCCTACTTTCCCTAATTCTGGTATTCTCCCACTTGCTCAAAAGCACCCACCCTTAATCTTCTGAGTAATTTTTTAAACCCCACGGACCCTAAGACAGTAGCTTTCAACCTTAGTTGCACATCAGCCTCAGCCTAGGCCCTACCTACAGAAATTCTATTTAATTGTTCTGGGGAAAGTCCTCGGCATCAGTATTTCTCAAAGTTCCCCTAGGCCACAGATCCAGCTTTCTGGCTCCCCACTTTGGCCTACTGCCATCTCAGAGTGAAAGTTCCATCTCCTTGCCTGGCTCAAAGGAGATGGTGTTTGTGAGTTCCGCAAAAGAAATAACAGAAATAAAACTGTGCTCTAATTCACTGGCCTGTGAATTATCAGACTCACCGAAGAGCTGCGGTCTACACCAAGTTGCAAGGAATTAGAGCCAATGCTGAAGCATCCCTACGGGTCTGGCCTGTCCAAGAGAGTGGACACAGTCTCAAGGCTTGCAGTCGCCAAGAAGAAGAAGCCAGAGTCCCTTGGTAGTTCCCGACTCCTTGCCTATGGTAACAGGTTCATCCAATGTAGTATAAAGACCGGTTAAAAATGCGTGTGAACCCTGTTGGTGGGAATGCAAGCTGGTGCAACCCCTCTGGAAAACAGTATGGAGGTTCCTCAAACAGTTGAAATTAGAGCTACCGTTTGATCCAGCAATTGCACTACTGGGTATTTACTACAAAGATACAAATGTAGGGACCCGAAGGGGTACGTGTACCCCAATGTTTATAGCAGCAATGTCCACAATAGCCAAACTGTGGAAAGAGCCAAGATGTCCATCGACAGATGAATGGATAAAGAAGAGGTGGTATATATACACAATGGAATATTATGCAGCCATCAAAAGGAATGAGATCTTGCCATTTGCAACGACGTGGATGGAACTGGAGGGTGTTATGCTGAGTGAAATAAGTCAATCAGAGAAAGACATGTATCATATGACCTCACTGATATGAGGAATTCTTAATCTCAGGAAACAAACTGA